TCTTTGAGGGATATAACCAGAAGTGGAATTGTTGGGTCATAGGTACTTCTATTTTTAATTTCTTTTTAAACATTTTATTTATTTATTTGACAGAGATCACAAGTAGGCAGAGAATCAGGCAGAGAGAGAAGAAGGGAAGCAGGCTCCCCGCTGAGCAGAGAGCCCGATGAGGGGCTCGATCCCAGGACCCTGGGATCATGACCTGAGCCGAAGGCAGAGGCTTTAACCCACTGAGCCACCTAGGTGCCCCTATTTTTAATTTTTTAAAAGACCGCCATACTGTTTTCCATGGCGGCTATGACAGTTTGACTTTTTTTAAGATAAGCAAGTAGGTAGGACTTTGAAAAACCTTTGCTTATTATGTAAGATGCGTTTCTCCTGCTTTCACTCACAGCTGTGTGTGTTCTTTCCCCCACAGACAAGGGAAGATGTTGTCTCAGTGTCTCTGAATTTTAACATCAAATACAGAAATACAAGGCCAACCATATTTTTGTTCCTTTGTAAGAAACCTAGGGGTTTCCCGCCCCCTTCAAAGCTGTTTTTAGAATTTTTCTTTTTCTTGAAATTCAAAAAGAAAATTCTCCTGCTAAGTATCCATGGTGGGGTTCCGGGAGGCTGTGAGCCCTTTCTGCCTGAAGAATGTGTTCTTCTTTGGCTTTTGGTTTTCAACTCAAAGTGTTTCCCTCTGCTCTCTTTAGTCCCTGTATTCTGGGATCCTTTTGAAAGCCTCTCTAATTCACAGGTCAGATGCCCATCCACTCAGTCTTCTCCTCTTCCTCTTCTTTTTCATCTGTTTATCCTTGTCTTCAACTTTCTGGCTGTCTTATGTGGGACTTTTTCTGCAGCGCACATTCTATCCTTCACTGCCTCTGGCTCACGCTCTCATGTCGCTGTGTACCTCTTGTTCCCACCGGTTATCCCCGAAAGGCCTCTTACACTTCCTCTCAGTGGGGCGGGCTTTTAGCGAGTTGAGCGTCCCTTCTTTCGAATGCCTCTCCACGTGTCACAGAATCCATGCTATTGTTCTTATGGACCTAAAAGCCCACACATTTTATACTGGAGTCTTTAATTTTATTTCTTCTTGGTATATTGTTATCATTTTCAAAGCTATGCATTTCCATTCGGTCTTCGGGGTAGCTAGCAGCCCCCTACTCTGCTGTGTAGGATTTTCCCATAGATGGCGTATTGCTTTTCTCATCCCTTACCCTTGAATGATGAAGGCTCGGTTTGGTTTGGGGGTTAGCTGTATGAGTCGACTTTGGACTTCTCAATGTCATGCTGTGGCACGGTAGAGTCTCCCTCTCCGTGGGGGGTTTCGTTTGCACGACCCAAGTTTGATTTCCAACATTTAGCAGCTGTTTGGTTTTCTAGTGCATGTTGCTAGCCCCAGACAGAGTCCTCTCTTGACACCACTGATTATCAAGAGGAAATTGAGTCAAACTGTAGTTCTTTGACCAGATGCGATTATTTTTTTAAAACTCTGGTTTCTGATATGCACTGCCCCAAGCCTTTCCCTGCCCGAGAGGGCTTTGCCTGAGAGCAACACACCTCTGAGCGCACAGGGTCCCTTTTGGCCCCCAAATCTGCAGGGACCAGAGCAAGAGCAGAGCAGCTAGGAGCTGTCTGGGTGCACAGGACGGGGTTTGCAAGTAATCCCAGACTGCCTACCAGCCAGGGGCAGATGGGGAGAGGCTGAAGGTCAAGCTACCTACCAGTCTATCTACCCCTAACCTTTGGTGTTCTGGGTGGGAGGCCAAGCTGCTCTGGGGAACTAGAGCTTCTTGGTGATAGTACTTGTGTTCTTGGTGTTACCTCCCCAGTCTGGGGAGGAGGCTGCTGGTGAACTGTTATCTTCCTTCTCGGTGTTGTTGTGGGGCTTTCTGCTTCTACATGTGCCTGCTTGGGTATTTTTATAGGAGATGGGAAAAGGACAAATCAGGCCCTGGTGAGGGACCCCATTTGAACTCCCAAGTCGGCACCTATAAAAGCCTGGAGGTGTGGTTCTCGGCCATGGCCGCACACTGGAATCCCCTGGACGGCTTTCACACATGACCAGTGTCCAGCCTCCCCCCACCCCGCCACCCCGTGGCCAGCTACACAAGCCTCTGTGCAGCGGAGTCCAAGCCTCTATAGCTTCGAAGTTCCTCTGGGTGACTCCAGTGTCACCCAGAGGCAAGAACCTTTAACCCAGATTCAAGAGCAATGGTAGAGCTTGGGTTCTTACTCAGATTCTAGTCCTAAGTGACCTTGGTCCAGTCTTTTAACCACTTTGTGCTTCAGTTTCCCCCATTCTACAGTGAGAATGCTAATGCCTGCCTCCGCTCTGACCATGTAAGGATACAGTGGGATAAACACAGGCTAATGATGGTGGAACTACCTAAAGACTCATGACTTCAAGGCCAGCAGTCCAGGACCCCTTGTAAGCCTTTGGGTGGTGGGTAAGGTCATTCATTCATTCTCAGGTACCTAGAGAATGACAGGGCAGCCCCTGTGGGCTCCCTGCTCCAGGCTCTATACTAGGAAGGAGACCCCACTACTTTTGGAGTTCCAGGCTAAACCCAGGGGACTCTTCTAGGGGCACTGGCCTTTCTCAGACTCCAGGGTGGGAGCGCTCCGGGCACTGGCAAACTACAGTTGTACACAGGGAGACATTTCAGTGGGAAGTGAGTGGAGAGGCAGGAGGCCCGAGGGTTGGTGTGGGGCCTGTGAGATCTGTGAGCTTGAGTGGACTTCCAGGGGTAGTACGAACAAATGGCTTAGTGGAAAATTCAAACACAAAGTGAGTAAGAGCTTAGGCTCTGAGGTACTACGTTTCCATGAGAAAAGAAGTGGGGAAGAAGCTTGGTTTCCAGAGTAGGCAGGTCTGGGTTCAAATCCCAGCTCTACCATTATCACGTAGCCATGGGCAAGTTGGGTAACTTCTCTAACCCCAGATTCATCATCTCTAAAATGGGATAATAGTAGGACCTGCCTCATGGGATCACTGTGACGATTACATGAGACGTTACAGTTCAGCTCCTTGGTTCAGTGTCTGGTGCGTAAGGAGTGGGCTGCCGCCGCTCTCCTTTTCTACACACACACTTTAAACTGGTGAAACTCTGACATGTATAAGCCATAACCCAGACTCACCAAAAGCAGGAACTGGAGGGACATCTCTTGGAGATCTTCTCTTCCAGCCCCAAATTGGCCAGCCGAGGAGGCTGAGGCCCCATCTGACCGTTGAGGTTTCCAGATACCCCTTCCATCCTACATAAGGGACAGACATTAACTAAGTCTTCCGAGGAGATCTTCCTTCTCTGGAGATTCCAAGATTCAGGCATCCAGGAGAGTACTCAGCCAAAATACGTGGTGAGGAGGGGTATTGGATGGTGGGGATGGCATGTGGCATGTTCTACATCCTGTTCCATCCTGTGTCCTATTCCTCTTGGTGGCACAGTCACTCAGACCCAGAATCTTGTTGTCATCCTTGAGTCTTCCTTTTCCATCAACCCTGAAATCCATCACATGGCGACTCTTTATCTTGGCAATGTCTCTTGTGCCCATCCTGTATCGGGCAGCTAGTGCGGCTCAACGGACAACCCCAGAAATCCTCGTGGCATGCGGTGTTGTGTTATAGTTACATTATGTGTGTGCGGGCTGGCTAGGGGCCACCTGATCTCATCTAGACTAGGGTGGGGCCCTGCTTCACATGTCTCTCGTCTTCCCTTTGGGACCATCAGACCGGCCCACAGATGGTCTCTCATGCCAATGGGAGAAACACAGGAGAGTAAGCATGGCTACATAAGGCCTCTTAAGGCCTCTTAAGGCCTCAGATCAGGCACCCCCGACCCCGTCACTTCTGCTGCATTCTGTTGGCCAAAGTAAGTTTTATGGCCAAACCCGAAGAGTAGAGGTAGAGGAAATGTGTTTCTGAATATAATCTAAACTACCACAGTTTCTTCTCTCTCGAACGCCAGAGAGTGTAGTTCCATTCAGCCTGCACTTTGGCGGGGGCTGCCTTCTTGCCTCCGCATCCATGCCATATTACCCTTCTATGGAGCATAGATGTGACTGTGGCCTTTCATGACCCACCCAGAACCTTCTCTGCCAACCATCGCAGAATGCAGTTCCTTGGCTGGATTCAATTATCCATACTCTAGCTCCTACCCTCTTTCTCAGCCCTGCCTCCGGTTTTTTTCCCAACTACACCACCTGTGTAGGACCCAGACTGCGTTCTACCTCCCTATTTCCCAAACACCCACGTTACCCTCCCCACATCATTGTTCTCTCCACCTGAAAGGCCCCACATTCCTGGGTCAGCATCCAGCTCTTCTGTGGCCTTGATTTCCCATTCATAGTGACAATGTCTGCCTCTGAGGTCCCAAAGTCCTTTCACCTGGACCCCACAGTGGCTTTGATACCTTCTCTTGTATCACAGTTATCAGTGAACGTGTCATTTCCTAGTCCTTAATACAGTGCCTGGCACACAATGGGGCAATAGTGCTGTTAGAGAGGATGAATGAAAGTTTCGATGCCCCTTGCAGACAGGGGCCTTAGCTGTCTCTAGCCCAGTGCTCAAGCCACTGTGGGCCTCAGTCACTGACTGCTGACATGCAGGGCAATGCTCTGGTTCCCTCCCTCATGCAGAGGGCATGCACTGGGGATTAGCAAAGGGAGGTGGTTTAGGCACACGGAGTTGAATGGGAGAGGTAATAACTCTGGGAAAGGTGTCATCGGCCCTTCATCTCACTCCCCCACCTCAGCATGAGGGCCAGTGCGGCAAAGCTGAGGGACCCCCCAATCTAGGAACTGAAGAAGAGGTGCTGTGGCCAAAAGTCACGGTGGCCCCTGCTACCCACAAGTGAGTGCCCCACCCTCACACACCAGCCAAGGGTCACCCATCCCACCTTCCTGAAAGCCTGGGGTTTACCAGTTGTCTGAAGCCGGCCCTTAGCTGGCAGGCGCCACAGCGAAGCAGGCTGACCCCGGCAAGGCTGACTCAGTCTCTTGTGCCTCCACAGAAGGACTTCACCGTGCGGGAAGAGCTTCAGCAGCAGGACGTGGAGCGCTGGCTAGGCTTCATCACCTTCCTGTGTGAGGTGTTCGGCACCATGCGCAGCAGCACGGGCGAGCCCTTCCGCGTGCTCGTCTGCCCCATCTACACCTGCCTCAGGGAGGTAAGAGACCCGCCTGGCCGTGCCCGCTGCCCTGCCAGGGCACGCCACCCTAGAATGCTTGTTAGCAAAACTCCAAAGGGCCAGGAAGGCTGCGAGGCTCGTGCCACCTGGCGGGATCCATCCTTCGGTGAACAGGAGTGTGACTTCCCATGCTTCTGTTGGCTAAAGCCAGGTTTTAATTGATTGAGTTTATAGAGAAGGAAAAAGCCCGCCGAAGGAAATTATTAGTAACTCAGACTTCAGGAATTCATCATTTCGAACGCTGCCTGCCGGGAGGGGGTCTCCGGCAAATATTAATTGAATGAATGGTTCTTTGGTCTCCATGCGTTTACCATTAAATTATTTATTTTTTAAAAATACTCGCTTCTAAATTTCATCTGAAAGAGAAATAAGTGAGAATAACCAAGAAGCTTCTGAGGAGCGAGAGTTCAGTGACGTACTTGCCCTGCCAAGTGTAGAGTCCGCTTTAGAGGGTCGTCGTGGCTCCTCTCGGGGGCCAGAAGCTGGGGGCTCGTTACGGGGCGGTTGGTGTCATCTAGGGAGAGGTCGGTGGCTCAGAACACAGCCTTGAGGGCACCAAACAGGACTGTATTCCGATTGTATTTTTGAGTTGGAGCCAACAGGACCCGCTGATGTGAGGTTTTGGACAACAGAGGAAGCGATGTGGGATCCTGGTTCACCAGCCTGGTGGTGCCATTTTCTGGGAAGGGGAGGGCTCAAAGAGAGACAGAGTGGGGATGGAAACCAGGAGGTGGGTTTTTTTGTGTTTGGATGACCAGGTGGTCATGCCCAGAGAGTTGTCCCACTGTTGCTTGGGTAGAAGTGCATGATAATCAGGATGAGGTCGGCCTTGGGACACGGAATCAAGCGTTGTATGAAGTGTGTGTGTGTATACTTGGTGCTCAAGGCTGGGACCAGATGGGATCCCCCAGGGGGAGGGTGTAGCTGGAGGAGTGGCCGGGCTGTGGGGAGGCGGTAGACGGGAAGGTGTGAGTGTGGACAGGTCTTTGGAGAAGTGTTTATGTGAAAGGCAACAGGGAAGAGGAGCTTGTCGACTACAAGGGGAGATGTGCAGTCAGGGGACGTTTTTGTGTTTTGCAAAGGAAGAAGATAATAGAGCAACGTAAGAGAAAGGAGAGGGTCATTGTAGATGGTTTTGAAGCATCCATTTCTGAGAAGCAGGGGGCTCGCTCCCCACTGTGTGGATGCTGAGGAAAGCAGAGTGTGCAGACCTCTCTCAGACGTAAGCCATCGGCCTTTGCCGCTGAGCCCAACATACTGCTTAACAGATGCGTATCAATTCATTATTGTTTCTCAGATCGGCAAATGGCCTCCTCCGACAGTATGTTGCTCTCAAAGCGTCCTAAGCTCAGGACGCAGTACCACAGGAGGTCATTGCTTTACTTTTTGCCTCCCTGGGCGGTGATCTGAAGGCAGCCCTCTTGGATGATGGCCACTCGGGGTCCTCCAATCCCTGCCTGAGTTGCCCTGTGGCCCTGACAATCTGGCTCAAGGCAGGGCAGTGACCTGGATTGCCCCAACACGTTCTCTCCGTGTGATCTGGGCCCCTCCTGGCGCTGCCATCACCTGCTTCCCCGACAGGAGGCAAGGCCACCGCTGAGCGCTGGCCCCTGGCTGCCAGGACACTTCTAACACCGCCTGAGGTGGCGCGAACGTTCGGATGTGAGATCGCGAGGTGCCAGGAAGCAGGGAGCGTCCCCTCATGCATACTTGTTTGAGGCGTTCCACTTTTCAGGGCAATGTCACAGACACAAGTGTCTGTGCTCTCGGTAAACTCAGAGAACAAACAGTCCATCCAGGGCTTGTGCCATCGTGTAAAAGGGGAAACCAGGGCCCCGCGTGCTGAGCTCTCTGCTGAGCTCAGGCCCACGGTGAGGTGATTCAAGAACCAGCCCTGGGCTCCCGTCCTGCCTCTGCCAGGTTCCAGATGTGCCGTCTAGGGGAGAGATCGCCTGCACTGAGCCCTGGTGCCCCCTCTGTAGGGGGAGACCACGCTGCTTGCTCTGAAGGGGCTCAGGGAGAAAGACATGGTGTGGAGGGAGTGCTAAGTGCACCAGGACAAGTACACCCGAATGTGGAAGGAAATGCCCAGGGGACTTGTTCTAGGGCAGGGTGGCTCTCCAAGAGCTCAGTATCCTCCAGGTTGACCAAGGGCCAGTCTTAAAGAGGCAGAGAGGCTGAGTGCCCTGCGCTGGGACACCTAGCCGGTCAGTGCCAGAGCTGGCCTGGGGCTGCTCCACTACCAATCGAGAGCTCTTAGCTTCCTTTACACAGGGCCTTAAGAAGAGATCATAAAGGGGTGTCCTAGGGATTGTCTCAGTCCCCACGGAGAGCCTGTGCCTTTCCCAGCTCCCTGGAGACAGACACCTGAATTCTCAGAGCCTGTTGCTGCCTTCCCCCACCCACCCCGTCATACACACACACACTTCCACTGAGGCCTGACTGATATTCCCAAAGCAGGTTCGGTCAGCTCTGAGAAGTTTCTAGAAGCCAAAGCTACTGCTGCTGCCTCTCTCCGTGGTGTAAAAGTTTAGACTTTTCCCCTGGGGCCAAGCAGATGGCTGACCCAGATGCCCACCGTACCACCCTAGCCTGGGTCCTCCCAATCCTAGAAGCGTCCCAGGCCTGTGTTTCCAGCTGCCCACTAGATACATCCAGGTCATGTCTCAAGCCCCTCCAATAAGATGTGACCAGAGCTGCGCCCCAAGGCCTTCCTGCTCAGTCCAGATCCCAGTGCGGGCCCAGACTCACCCTTCCGGCCCCCCACAGCCAAGCAGCAGCCCAGAACTCACCCAATTAATTACCTGTTCTTACAGCTGTAGGTCACTCTACCCTCTGCTTCTGCACACCCTCCCTGGCTTCCCCTGCTCCCCTTTCCTCTGGGCCTTGATTCAAACGAGACCCACGGGCCATCTTGGTGTGAAAAGCTCAAGAAGAAGATACAAAATCCTCACAGCCCCAGTGCAATCTCAGGGTCCTCAGCTCATGGAGGCCACCCTCACTGGATGTGGGGCTCACTGGCCTCCACTCCCCTTTAAGACCGAGCGCGTGCTTGGCTCCAAAGCCCCTCCAGACTGGGGGCCACCCGGGGCTCTGAGAGCCACCCTACCCTAGCGGGAGTCCCCTGGACATCTCCTTGCACACTCTGACCCAGCTGAATTAACCGTTCTCTCTGGTTCCCTTGGTTGTTCAAGACCTTGGACTCCATCCTTGGAGTCTTCTCTCTACCTGGCCAAAACACCTCTTCCGGGGCCCAGCCTAAGCCATGTCTTCCAGGAAGCTCCCCGCCCCCACCCCCAGCAGAGCACAGGGACAGCTCCCAAGAGCCAGACGCAGCACTCGGCCCTGACAACTCCAGCCTTCCGACGGCATCTTCGTATTTTAGTATTTGGTAATTTGGCATTTATTTAGTATTTTATAATGATAACAACACACTCTGGAAGGCATTGACCAAAGCCCATCATGTATTCTTTTCTCTCTGAACTCGGACACCACCCTGAAGATGATCATCCCCAGCTGCGGGAGAACAGAGAGGTCAGGCAGTTTGCTCAGGGCCACACAGCAGAATGCATATGGGAATCCAGGTCTGAGTGCTGGAGTCCCTGCTCCTGACTGCTCTGCTCGCGCCTCGTGAAGCACCTTTCTGTTTCTTTAGTCCGTAGCCCAGCGCCTACTACGCAGAAGAAGCCAAATAGGTCATCAGATAATTGATTCCACTTCTGCCATAAATAACTTGTGCCGATCAGACCTTTCTTTGAGGGATGGAGAATAATTTTCAGTGAGCCTTTTTATTGTTTCAATACCAGTGGCTCTGCCAAGAGGGTTTTCAAAGTGATTGAAGACTATTTTCGGTGCCTGCAAGGGGCAGGAGTCTCCTTGCCCTCCTGTTTGCCGCTCGTATTTGCTTCGCGAGCTCTTTTTAACTTTTTTTTAAAAGATTTCATTCTTTTAAGTAATCACTACACCCAACATGGGGCTCGAACTTACAACCCCGAGATCAAGAGTCATACACTCTACCCACTGAGCCAAGCAGGCGCCCCCCTTTTCTTTATTTTTTTAGTATTTATAAAATTTTATTATCATAAGAACACTTAATATGAGATCTATCCTCTTAACAGATTTTTAAGTATACAGGACAATATTGTTACCTCTAGGTACCATGTCATTAGTGAATCCCTGAAATTTATTCATCTGACATAACAGAAATCTTGTGTCCAGTTTTTAGCCACTGACATTACCCCCCTGGCCCTAGCCTCTGGCAGTCACCTCTGTTCTTTGCCTCTATAAGTCTGACGATTTGAAAGATAAGTGGAAATATGCAGTATTTGACCTTCTGTGACTAGTTTATTGCACTTGGCATAATATCTTCCAGAGTCCTCTGTGTTGTCCCATATGGCAGAATTCCCTTCTCTTATAAAGTGGAATGGTACCGTCGACCCCCGATCAACATGGGTCTGAACTGGGGGGGTCGCTTAGATGCGGAGTTTTTACGATCCAGTGCTGTAAATGTATTTTCTCCACCTTATGGTTTTCTTAGTGATAGTTCCACCAGTGGACTTTATTGTAAGAATACAGGATATAATACATATATATACAAAATATGCATTAATTGACTGCTGATGTCATTGGTAAGGCTTCTGGACAACCAGAGGCTATTAGTTATGTTTTGGGGGAGACAAAAATTACATACGGATTTTCAACGGCACAGGGGTCGGCGCTGCTAAACCCCACGTTGTTCAAGGGTGAGTGAATGGATATACCACACTTTTTAATCTCTGCTCTGTTCATGGGCTTCTAGGTCGTTCTCACATCTTGGCTGCTGTGAATAGAGCTACATTGAACACGGGAGTGCTCATACCTCTTGAAGATCTTGATTTCAGTTCTTTTAGATAAATTCTCAGAAGTGCGATTGCTGGATAATAGGGTTCTATTTTTAACTTTTTAAGGAAGCTCCCTACTTATTGTCTTTCAGAGCAACT